AGATAGATAGATAGATAGATAGATAGATAGATAGATAGATAGATAGATAGATAGATAGATAGATAGATAGATAGATAGATAGATAGATAGATAGATAGATAGATAGATAGATAGATAGATAGATAGATAGATAGATAGATAGATAGATAGATAGATAGATAGATAGATAGATAGATAGATAGATAGATAGATAGATAGATAGATAGATAGATAGATAGATAGATAGATAGATAGATAGATAGATAGATAGATAGATAGATAGATAGATAGATAGATAGATAGATAGATAGATATAAACACCATCTTACATTACTATTATGATAGGGGCTAACTCCACAAGCTAGTGCATTTAGAGTTTTACTGTTCAACACAAGCAACGCCTTGCGATTTTTGAGCGCCCATATAACAGTTGTTTACCGAGAATATCTCATAGCATGAAGTGAGTACTGCAATACTCCAACTAGCTTCTAGATGGTTTAATGATTGTGTGGCTTCATTTGTCCTATACTACTAACTTACGAAGTATAGCAAAAGTATCTCCCGTGAGCTATTTATAAGCTCCCTCTGTTCCTACAAATAGCTACGCACATAAAGAATGGACGCTATCTCCAAATTACACTGTAAAGGTTACTTATCAACAATGCAGATTGTAAATGGTTGCATGTCACTTATATTGTGTTGACTTTTGCATCATTCGGAGACTGTGTTGCCTGCGCTTTTTTTTTCTGAATCATATATGCAATCACCCTTGCTCTGTTAGAAGCGACAACGCACTCACCGCCCTTTCGAGTGTGTTCCAGAACCGTACCCGCTATGTTGCTCCCGGTCTGAGCCACTGCAAAACCACAAGAGGGCGTGATTGTTACTCATAACTGGTTATAAATGTTAAAATAAGTGCGCAGAAAGTTTGTGCACTGATTAAAATACCATAATTTATTGCTAATATTTACTGCCATGATACAGAGGTGTTAATAATATAAATATTGTGGTTTTGGCAACTTAATCTGTTTGAACAGTCCATTCAATGCCTCTTCTCTTAGACCTCCATCGTGCTACTTCGTCTGGAATATAAGTGAATATAATGCATAGGACCAAATAAAGCTCAGCAGTTACTGAAGTCTTGTATTCAAAAACTGTTATTATTGTTCACGTGCAGGCAATACTTCTAAAAGCAGTGGGGATGCAGAGAAACAGTGGTGGATGCCCTCTGGTTGACGTCTATCACATTAGAGACTTATATATTAAAACTTCTGAAGCAGGTGATACCCCTTCAGGATCTTACATTAAGGTTTGTATCCAAAGGGGAAAAAGCAAAGGAAGAAACTGGACACAAAGGCATAAAACAATACAAAAGCGTCGTTGGAACACGAGAAAAATTATTAGGCGAAACAAATCGCAACATTACTTTGCGACTTTTATCGTCTATCTTGTAAAAAAAAGAATTATAGTAAGACAAGCTTACTTTTCTGCGCATGTCAACCGGCTGTATTGTGGAGCACCGCCACTGTATGGATTTATTCTTCTGTTGCAATGGACCATTTTGTTGAATGTTAGCGCAGGTGTTTTGTCCTCGCGTTACATTGGGATAAGTATTACCTAGTTACGGATAATAACTCTTGTCACATGGCACATCTAATGCATCTTGCAGCGAATGCAATTAAGTATTGATGTCATTTTGGCAGCGGCTACACGAGCATAGTGAATGACATCTATAGCTAACGGTGTTCACCGATTGAATGCGTTTCTCGACCTCATTCAAGTGTGACATGTAAAGGCTCAACGACAAGTGCTTGGCAAAATATTACAAAATTGCAAACTTCAAGTAAAATGTAACGGATGTTGAAGCTCTTATAAGTGGCTGTTCACTTTTTTTACGTATAGCACAATAGTGGAGGCACCTTGTACAGCCTTACTTTCATTTCAAGATTGTGACTTAACGCCAGAGCCCCTTATAGACCAAGTTTAACGTTTGCAAATGATCACCCGTTATATTTATTTCAATCCTTCGGTGTTTTTTTTTTTTTTTTTGAAATGGGGCCGCCGTAGCGAAGTCGGAATTTAGCACTTGTTATCCACCCGCCAGTCATCAGAGAGCGAATGTTGACGTTTAATTATACGACAGTAATGAATAGCAAAAAGCACATCATTTCAAACGTTGACGTCGATTTCCAGTGCCAATTTGTATGACCATGAACGGACCTCGACAGCTGGTATGGTGGCGCAGCGGCGCTTTGACGATGTCGCGAAGAATTAACGCGCACTTCCACTACTGGTGGCGCTGACATAGCGCTAATTCAGAATAATAGTAAGCGCTAAAAGAAATGGAAAGCGTCTGCTTATCTCGCACATTACGCCACCCTTGTCTAACGCTTTCATCGCTCGTCCTCGTGAGCCTTTTACGCTAGAGTTACTTTATATGCTATTCTATTCTATGCAAGTCCATCCCATTTTAATTTTTGGCAGCTGACCGCCAGCGTTGCTGCACATGTTATCACAGACATACAAGCAACACTCTTGTGTGATCGCGAGTTACCTTAATTGCTTCGAACTACCATATTCCCGCCTACGCAGTCACTCGCATTCGCGACTGATTAGCAGCGCGCTATAGCGCCACTTGTTCAGTGAAAAATGCGGCGCACTCAGTGGCGTACCAACTTTTTCGCGAGTGGGGGGTGGGGGAAGGGGGCAAAGCTACCACCCATCTCGACAGACAATATATATATATATATATATATATATATATATATATATGGGAAGAAGTGTATACCTAAGTGCTCGTTTTTCCGTGTTTTGACACAATATTAATGAGATGTAACAGACAGTAATGCCAAGGAATGTATAGGGGAAGTTATTAGAACAAATGGAATGTCAATAAGAAGAAAGAAAACTGGGTGAAAAAATAACCAGCTGTGAGCAGGAATTGAACCTACGACCTTCGAATAACGCGTTCGATGCTCGTTATTCGAACGCGTTATTCGAAGGTCGTAGGTTTGATTCCTTTACTTTAATTTAATTACTTATATGCATGTGAAAGCGGTATAATTTCACTCTATGAGGTAATCATTTCCTTGTTCGAAAGTAACACACTTCTTCATAACGATATTATGAAGGCATGTGTTCTATAAACTGCACCAATCACTTTTTACCCGAAATATATCTACCGTATATAAGAGCGTTAACTGAAGGGATGTCGCCAGGTCGTGCGAAAAGTGGTGGTGGTGGTGGTGGTGGTGGTGGTGGTGGTGTTGCAGCAGGCGGGGTTAGCCTGGCCTGCATGGCCGGCAATTGTTCCGCCTGAGCATCTCCTGAATTTGGAAATTGTCACCACGTGTCAGACAGCCCAGTGTCTCGCAGGAAGACCAACAAAGTTGCCATGGGTCCTTCAGGAAAAATTTCGTCATCAACTGTCCGGTGCCTATGACAGCCTTTTTGCAAGGTGCGGATCATCGCTGCTCTTTGCAAATCAAAGTGTGGGCAAAGCCAAATGAAATGTTCAATATGCCCGATGTCACCACAGAAGGCACAGAACGGGGAAGCGTATCTCCCAGTCTTGAATGACCAGGCCGGGGTGTATGTGGAGCCGGTTCTTATGCGGTACAACAGCGTCGGTTATTCAAGAGAAAGTTCTTGAATTACACATGCTTGGTGTGGAAACTTGTAGATCGCCTTGAAATGATTGCGTATCACATCTTTGTTGTTCTGGTAAGTCTTGGGAGTTCTTACTTTTGGAACAGATTTCCGTGCTTCGCATGCAAGGGCCTCAGCCTTTTCATTGCCTTCAATACCAACGTGGGATGGGATCCACTGAAACTTTATAATAAAACTCTTGCCAATTAAGTGTTTTAGGTAGGTCGTGCGAAAAAGTTAATGTTTATGATAGCTTCACTCACATGTTGATCCCACTTGTGTTGCCATAAGCGATCCTGTACGGAATACAAGAAACACATTTAAACACTGTGTCAACAAAACTTCAGGAAAGGCATAACAAAGTCGTTTGAGAAAACAATCACCATCTCGCCTCAAAGGCCAAGTGTTGGTATTTATCGATAACATTACTGATCTTTATAAACAAGGGTAAGTTCCCGATACTTGTGTCCAAGGAAATTGCAGCAAATATAGTCTCACTAAGTAAACACCTATGCATCGTGTCAATTGCTCTTGCAGAAGCATAAACATGTCTGACTTTGAAAACATTACGCCTGTCGTGGCAAGGTCGGTGTAATTAACCACACCGGAAGCTGTAATGAATCGCTTAGTACTGCCGCCCAAGTGAACGCGTCTGCGAAGCCTGACCTTATACTATAACACGGGAAGCTTCTTAGCCCGTTTCGGATCAAACAAATGTGATAGCTACACCGGCTCATGCATTTTTGCACTCGTCGCAAACTATCACCAATATATATGTGTAGAGTGTGCATATGTACTCTAATCAGCGAAACACACAGTCAACACACCTTACTTCGCCAGCCGTTATATCCTGCCTCTTCTTACTCAGTTTCGATCAAGATTCCTGCTTTCTCAAACACCGGTGTCGGTATTCGTCATCACACTATGAAACGCGTGGACTGCCTACATTAGCTATATCGCCGTGGTTGTTCGCTATGTCACTGTAGAAGTTGAGGCGTGGCTTGAACCCTTGCCAGTGATGACTCCGGGGGACGAAATGAACTGTGTCGCGGTAGTCTATGACCTCGGCTACGCTGCAACATTGCAGACAAAGCTGTCCCATTTTCTTCTAGTATCGACGGAGTTGGCAATTTCGGGGTAATAGAAGCTCTGTGACATTATGCGGCTTGGCAAAGAATTTTTTTTCGATGACGGTTCTGGCAGGTGGATCTGACTGCATGCATCAGTATGGTCACATGTTCATCGCGCAACACAGCCTTGTGTTTGCCTGTAACCTGTTAAGTAGCTTAGCACACTCAGCCCCTCTGTGTTCTATGAATTTTCACAATAGCAGCAAAATAACAATTCTACTTACCCGCGGCCCACTTCCCCAAGCCTCCTCCCATGCCGCCTCCCATCATGTATGGGTCACCTTGAAGAAACAGCAACAAGACATCTAAGCACTCAGCGCCTTGAAATATTCCTTGCAGCAGGCTCTATAAAGGTTGAAGCATCATAAAACAAGTAACGTTTCGATTTTCTTTTGTGCTATACATAGCCTGCAGTCTAGCATCACGTGATGCCTAAGTTAGTAAAATGATAAGTAGTTTAGGTAGCAGAGTAACAATGGAATTAAAAACGCAATCCAGGATGGCAGAGTGCTCACATAAATGAAAATTATTAAAATGGCAGGCACAAAAGTGCATCAGCTCGAGCGGGATGAGATAAATTGGAGAATATTGGGAGATTCTTTTAATGTACTTAATACATGGGTCGTTTGGAACTCTACACTATACTTAGGGGCGCGAGAAACAAATATCACCGAAAAGAATTGATTGACACGAGCATTGCCCATCTGATAAAGGACAAATGCGTGCAGCGCATATATACTTAGGTCAGCGATAATGATGAAACCACTGTTCTTTCTTTTTCCTGAAATACTATTCTACAAGATGACTCACGGAAAGAAATTCTGAAGACTTGCTTTTTTTTTTTTTCCTTCTACGGTACACGGCTGCTGACCCCAGGTCGCGGGTTTAATTCCGGCTGCGGCGGCTGCATTTCCGATGGAGGCGGAAATGTTGTGGGCCCGTGTGCTCAGATTTGGGCGCACGTTAAAGAACCCCAGGTGGTCGAAATTTCCGGAGCCCTCTACTATACGGCATATCTTAATTCATGCGGTGGTTTTGGGATGTTAAACCCTACATGTCATCATACACAAGCAACCTTCACCAGGACGTAATGAAGCCAAGGAGCGTTAAGCATAAATTAATTGTACTATTTGAGGATGCAAAGATCTAAACTGTGATATATATGTCAATCAAGTAAAGTGAACGATAATGCAAGTTGCTGCCAGCAAAGTCCGAACCTGCAACCTTCAAATAACGCACCATGGCGGTTGCCCCGCGTCCTCTTTATCGGGTTTTTTTATGCGCACGCTAACCTTAGACGTTTAGCGCTGTTTGTAGCCATTGATGACGTCGAGTGTGCTACTCCTTTTTCTTTTCCAGCCTTTGTCATGTAGCACGCGATCCCTTAATTACAGCCGACCATTAAGCCATAACATACAACCTGCAGGCATCCAGTTTGCCGCAACGAGGTCTTCACTGAGAATGAATTGGTTGGATAACTTTTGAGGAGTCGATTTTTTTAACACAATCCTCATAAAAACCAGCAGATAATGAAGCTAGGAAAGATATAAGGTCCGTTAATTGTACTCATTTTGGTTGTGATTTTGTAGTAGTTGTGATTGAAATGTGAATAGAACAAAGTGGACGAGCAGACAATTTGCTGCCGGTCGGCGCCGAACCTACGATCTTATGATAGCGCGCCCAATGCTTTCCCCATGACGGCGAGTGTTCCTCACTCGCCATATTGTCCACGAATGACACCGATTAACGCGCCCGCGTATGCATACGCATAAATAACACGCAAGACCAGCTCGTAACAGCATTGTGCTTGCAATCTGAAGGTTGCAGCTTTGGTCCGGTCCAGAGGCGAATGATCTCTTTGTCCGCTTTGCTTTATTCCCATCACGCTTTCATCTCCCCCATCCCTCTCCCATGCGCAGGGTAGCAAACCGGCTGATTGTGGACTGGTTATCCTCCCTGCCGTTGTTTATCTTTTATTTTCCTTCCATATAAAACATTGACTATCTATACACTTAAAACAGTACAATTAACGGCCCATCTTCCTTGTCTCCATTGTCTGCTGGTCTTTATTGAGGTTATTGAACGCTGTCATACAACGCATATCTGATGCATAGCTAGATATGAGGGGTTTTTTTTTTTTTTTTAGGGGCGAAGCTTCTTAAGGAGTGGGTTTGTACATCCTCCGATGTATGTCATAGTATGTAGCCACCGGGGGCATATACCACCAGGGGCATATAATGTGCCACAGAGGATGCGACATGTGAGGTGGTGTGAGGAAAACATACACGGCTGAAGATCTCAAACTACCACTCACGAGTCGAAGTCACGACGAAGAACATGCAGCCATCAAAGTGCTTGACTCTGGAATCGTATTCATGACCATGTATCTAGCTCCTAACCTGTCGGTCGGAAATGTCAAGGCATACATAGACACGGCATTGAAAGAGTACAATACAAAGTACAAGAATGCACTGTTCGTAATGGTTGGTGATTTTACCGTGGATATCGCAGACACGACCAATAATTGGTTTATCCAACGTATGGATTCTAGATATGCACTCAGATGTATATGGTTTGACCATATGAAACCTACCATGATCGGAGGAACATGCATAGACCTAGTCTATGTAATTTTTTTTTCACTACAGCTCATACAGGAACCGCTCAGCCTTCATTTTACAGACCATAAAGCCGTCATAATGAAGGCACATCGCAAGCCGTCCATCGTCTCTAAGAAAAAATAAAAGTTGATTTGTATATATACACAGACAGCGTGGCTTACGTCTTTAAACGATGATCGACTGGGCGAATTACACGGAAGATTCACGGTTTACCGATGATTCCCTCCGGAGCTTCGCCCACTCATCATCATTCACCCCGTGGATATGCCGTGATTTTTTTTCCTTCCCCTTTGCCTTCTCTTGCTTTTAATCCTGTCCTTTATAATGCCTCGTCCTTGCAATAAAGCTTCAGTTGATAGTCTTCGCTCTTCTGTCCTTTTCTGTTCTTTAATGTTTCCGTCCGTTTTTTTTTTTTTTTTTTTGCGCAGTTACATTATGGCATAGCTCGCGTTCAATAGGGCTGATTTTCTTTGGAAAATATGAGGGCCTCTACAGCTTCCAGCTGATAGACTTGACATTATTTTTAGGGCATTACTGCGCAAGAACTTAATACTGGAGCTACACAGCTGGGCCGGAACCTCAAAAACCGTAATGCATAACTTTTTGAACAAAGTCTGTCTATGGCAACCACTCGGAATTTCTAGGCTGAAAAAGGGGCCATTGAATAATAGAAGCTTTCTTTTTTTCTTTCTTTCTTTCTTTCTTTCTTCCTTTCTTTATTTATTTATTTATTTATTTATTTATTTATTTATTTATTTGTGTACTAATTTATGCCCTCGAGGTATAGTATATTGCTCAAAAGAGTCATAAAATATAGCAAAATATGGGAAAGAAAAAAATTACGATGTAGGAGCGTATTTTTCTCATTATAAATTTCAACTCGATGTGTCAAATATCAGATGAAGTAAAATTACGAGAATTTCTCAGCTCCGAAGCAACTACAAGGTAATCAATTGCTTATCTCGTAAAATTACCCACTCGGCATTACGTGCCAGTACTGCAGTCATATGCGACTCACTGCCCCAATGCTGCAGTCGAAAGGTTTTGACCACGTGGTGTTTTGCATGGGAACTACTCTGTCATGTGTTACATGAGCGCAAATTCTTTCAGTATGTGATGTAATACATATATTTAATGTGCATTCTAGTGACTCCGAGGCTTGTGATTGACGAATCTTGTCGCACTGTTGGTTTTGTTGTAAACTGCCTGAGGTATTCAATGTCTTGTATAGAAAAACGGCGTCCCAGAAGCAGGTCTTCCTCAACGTGATATCAATCTAATGACCCGCATTGGTATCTTTCTTTCACGCGTGAATCTGTGGTTTCGGTTCCGAATGTAAGCAGGGTCACAAATGCAATATTCGTTTACGATTGTCGGCTTTCTGTATAATGTGAGCAATCTGTCAGTGTTGGTTAAAGTGCGATTTTTTTTTCGTACAATCGAGAGTGCCTCTGTGTGAGAGTAGTCTGTAAACTTTGCAAATCATTCAGGCTAAAGATCATTACAAAGTGGTTCATATTAGCAGTGGAAGGAGAGTTCAACTTACCGTAGCCCATTCCATCCATTCCGCCCATTCCTCCCACTGTCGAGTATGGGTCCATTCCACCTAAGAGAAAAAAAAACAAATTAAGAAAATTAGGAAAACATTTATTTAGCATTCGGCTCCTCTTCAAAATATCTGCTCCTGAAAGCGTCGTGCAAGCATGTTGTGCCTTACGAGTCACACCAATATAATGTTTGACGGCCTCGAAGAAGAAATCGGGACAAATGGCGAACATACCACTTATAACCTGAAATTTCAGGGCTTAATTAATCGCTGCTTCGTTGAGACGACAGTCAAGTTGCTGTCCAGGTCTGCAACAGGCAACTCTCACCGTAGCAGAGAGGGCTTCCGCTCGGGTGCATGATCTGAAGAAGACTATTTTACATGTGTTGCTGACATGTAAACTGCTCTTCGTTAAAGCGTGTATTTCTTCTTTTAACCACTAGTAGTTGGCAGTCGTGTAATTAGATATGCTCGTCTCTCTAATACATGAAGTCATTATTTTTTGCGTTCCATTTGTTTTTCTGTGGGTTTTTCCATTGGGCATATAGCCTTAAACTTGACCCAGTTTGAGCATATGCTTTTTTTCCAGTAAAAAAAAAAAGACAAAAAGTGTTATATGCTGTTGACCGTAATCTTTGCTCCGAGAATAAGCGGATACGGGGAATTTAAACATTATAGTATGATACACTTACTTACCCATGCCTCCAAAGTCATTGTGTTGTCCGGCAATTGGAGAAACTGCAAATTAACCAACACGTATATATATATATATATATATATATATATATATATATATATATATATATATATATATATATATATATATATATGTGTGTGTGTGTGTGTGTGTGTGTGTGTGTGTGTGTGTGTGTGTGTGTGTGTGTGTGTCAAAAAATGCTGTCTATTTCTCGTGCACATGTTAAAGAACGGAGGAAGCAAACTTAGGAAAACCGCACATTTCCCTATACTTAACGTTTCGCCCATGGCACGGCCATTTTGTGAATTTCCTTCTTCAATTCCTCAAATATATACGGTCAATACTGTCGATGTCTCACGTGAACACCACAATAGTATTCAAACCCTCATGGAAGCTGCTGTCTTATACATAATTTTAAATTTATTGTTCTGTTTGTCGACACCACGAATGCTGTGACACACCGAATATTTTCTCTCGTCTGGTAGAAACGTTCTGGTTGTATGGGAATGAACTAATGCAATGTGGACATTAAATGGGATCAAGCCTGTACATGTAGATTGAAACTCTTGAAACACGCTGTCGTTGGATTTTATTTGTGATTTTCGCTCTCTCTCTCTCTCTCTCTTTCTTTGTGTGTTTTACAACAACTGAATTACAACCGCAGTACCACTGCATTATCTCGCACAGAGATCCAAATGAAAGCTGAGTGTGCCACCATTGCCTGTCAATGAAAATTAACACGAATAAATAATGAAGAAAGGAACTATGTGGAATAAGCAAAGACAAAAACCTTTAATCAAGACAGTTTACAATTTTTAGGTCCATATCTTTAACACCTATTCGGAAATCTATTCATCAAGAATAAAAACCGCACTCACCTGCACTTGCAGATCCAGGCTTTTTAGTCTTCTTCTTGCCTGGCAAATGTATATGCAATCAAAGTCTGTAAGGTCTTTGTTCAGTTCTTCAAATGCATTCATGTAAATGGTAATCTGCAACAATGCACTTATTGATCCTGAAATTTAGCTGGTACGCAGTGTCACAGCTAAAAGTGCTTGCTAATCAGCCGTTGCACGCCCAAACATGCATTTAAAAAGAGAATAAAAAATAACTTTCTGCTGCAAATAGAAAACTGTCTTTGCTCGATACCAGAAGCTTCCACTTTTGCACGAGAAGGTGCGCACTAAGCTAAATAACGCGGATAAATATCGTGCAGGTGGCAATTTCAGATTCCCCTAAAAACTACAAACTCGTAAAGACGTTGCAGATGCTGGTGTAGTCTGTCGGTGCCTACATTGCACATCAGGCTTGATGAAGTTTTATTGAGCCGATTTTGCAATAAAGAAAAAAAAAGGACATTGAAGCTCTCGATGCCGATGCTTGAACAGTGTGGTCACTAACGTCAAAGTTTCGACAAGCACACTTCACATGTTGTGGCACCTGATGGAATTCTATACGTTTCTGGCACGCTAAACTTACATAGCTGCTAACACCACACCTCGCCGAACAAGATACTTGTATAGGGTCTTCCACTGAAGACGTTTCAATCATTAACTTGACTCTGTCGCAGAATATTTGGAGTGGATTGTGGTTGGAGCTTGTATTTTTTGTTATTCTTTGTGTACACCCCAATTTTTTTTCTCATGAGCGCTGCCGACAACGACACGATGGTTTCTGCGACGTGAACTCTTTAACGCTATCACGTAAATATCTTCTTGTTATTGCACTCACACAGTGAGTGTTGGTGGTCAGCTGTATTAGTGCACGCAGTGCGACGTAATAGCCTAATCTAATAGGCAATAGCTCTTGCCAGCTTTAGCTTCGACGAAGTACGTGGTATACAGAAGTAAGTTCTGATATGTAAGTATACCATAGGCATCTAGTCGTACTCACCCCCTTTTGCAGGCTTTCTCACACGATGTTTACCACGTGTGCCTCCAACTTTGCCTCGAACACCTTGCAGAAACAGAAACAGCACTACTTCTCAAACCATTTGACAACTTCCTAAATTACAATCATCATACATTCGCTTGTACACAGCATAAAAATTCCCCCACATTAACCAAACCACATATACTGCCACAAAGAATTCTCCCTTTTGTGCCTTACTTCGCATAGTTTGTGGTGATGCAATAAAAATTAATGGAATTAGTTCAGTCACTCTAGGATAGCTATTCACTGTGCGTTGTTTGCATTACGCCACGGAGCTTGCGGATAGCTTGTTCTGCAAGCTCGAGACCTCCTTCATAACATTATCACACAATGAACGACACAATACCTTGGTGTTAGTGGTTCCCAAGCAATAGTGGCATAAAAGGCAATGAACACGCTGCTGAACATGTTTGGCCTGCCCGCGAAAAGGGCATACATTAATTCATTTTGCTCTCACGAACATGTGCAGCACATAAATTCAAGGAGGGGGAGGCAATGCACGCTACAAGAGAATTATAGAGAACACCTTTGATGTGCGAGTGTCCGTGAAGGTGAATATTGGACTGCAGGCAAGTTATCATTAGCCGTCGAAGCTTGAAATTCATGATATTTTGTGGCATTTCAAGGACCCATAAATATGTTGTCGTCATTAGAGATGGGTTTATTGTATTTATTCTACTAGTTTTGTACCCTACCCTGCTCCAGTTTTACGAAATGCGAACCCAAGCACTTAATAACTTGGGTTCACATTTACGATGGCATACTTCTCGTTTAAAAAGAAAGACTGACGGGCTAGTTCATAGTGCACAATTCAGAACAATGGAGAGAAAAATCACACCAATGCTGACTCAGATAAAGGCACCCCACAGCAGTGTTCTGGATTATGTACTTCTTGTCTTCTCGTTAGAGTGGCAGATAGACTACTTTAAACTTTTTTTTGGTGCAAGTTTGTGGGTGCGAAATTTCACTAGCTATATCTTCCCTTTGTTAGTTGACCTGACAATGTGGAAAGTTTTTTCGCAATGTCTGATGTTCACAGGAGAACGAAGACACAGCTGACGCCATTTCTCACATCGACCTGCTGTGTACATTACACCTGCATGGCAGCCGCAATACTCCCTGATTTAATAAAGTTTCATTCAGCTGAGTCTTTTTTTTTTTACAAAAAAAGACGCCTGTAACGTAACTGAATCTAACAGGGTGAATTATACTGCCTTGGTAGCTAGTGCACGTCTACAGGGGCTTAAACCGCACTCAAGTAATAATGAAAAAGAAAACATAGTTTGCCAACAAAATATTCATGCGTAACTATGATAGTTGCACAGTTTTCTACGACAGTCTTTCGCGTACGACTTTTGTCACAGTCTGAAAAAGTTTTTGTCACCTGGACATCACACGCTTGTGCTCTTCAGAATTGTATTGGGATGTGTGACCACATCTTCAACATTTTCGCTGCTATTTACTTCTAACTATTCTTTGGCGAATCGTATATAGTTCACCTTTCAAATCAATACACTTGTCTATTACATTTCCACGTTTCAAAGGGTACCAGTGGATTTACATTGCTCAAACAGTGAAAGAAACGGTGAGATCACAGAGTAAGAAAACTTTATAACATGAATACTTTTTAATGGTTTTGTGTAGGCGTAAGTTGGAATACTATATCTGAAAAAGTCAGCGCTGCAAAGTTCACTAAGTTGGAAGACAAGCACAAATGAAGCGCATACAACTTCTCGTCTGTGTACTTCCTTACTGTCGTCTTTGTAAACCTAGCAGTGCTACCATTTTCCTTCACTGATACTTTGTTGCTAACTGGTGCCAGAACACATGAAACAAACAAACAGTGCGAGGGTACAGCGGCAAAAGGTCACACGCCAATGAAACTATAGACATGCGCAGGGCTGCAGGCAATGATTGACCGCCGCGGTAGCCCCTCCCTTCCTGTCTGTCAAGGCAGTCAGCCCCACAGTAGATTCAAAAGCACAAAAGGTGTATTTGTGGGCTTTTTTTTTTAAAGCCTGTCAATGGTCTTCAGCTTTCCGGGAGCAAAAATGAGACGTTAGCAGGTCTTTGAATGCTACATCATGGTTCCGGGGTCACTGTATTCGTCAAAAAGCATTTGTCTATAAAACCCTGGCTGTTAAGAAAAATGACGTGAAAGGTCCGACTGAGTAAACGTGTGGGGGAAAACTCGCACCCCCCTTTTAGATAAAGAGGTGGGGAAGACGACTAAACCTTCTCCTCGCGCGGACTTGTATGTGTCACAACGCTCCTGTGTATCCCCTTTCAATGCCGTCATTTCGTGCTATTCCTTCGTTGTTGAATGTATGGTTCCGGATTTCTAGGAATAGACATTAGCACGTATATCGGTGATAATGCAAATACGGCAATTGTAGGTGATAAAATTACACAGGCACTTTCACGGAATTTCGACATTTTTAAGAGTTCTACAGAATACCGTCCGGTCAGGTAAGAGCATTGCTTAAAAAAAAACAGGTCACTGACCAATGTCAAAAACAAAACAATAATGACGTTTCGGAATCCGTGAACGAGGAACCAATGCGGATTGCGAAATTTCATTATTGTTTTGTTTTTTTTTACATTTGTCAGTGACATGTGTTTCTTCAACTATTTGGACATTTATGTCACGTGAAACTTTGGCGTCATATCACGAGAGTTCTGAGATGGCTCTTTATGATGACTTCATTGCCTAATGTAAAGTAATTGCTGATTGAGCCGAAACACGACAGCTCACCACACGCTTGCGGGTCTCTTTTTGCTGGGCAGCGGAGTAACAGCTTCAGATAAGGAGCTTCAGTATCTGGCGAATGGCATATGCGTTTATTGCATCTGATATTCTGCCTCATTTGACGTATGCATGCGGAACATGGGAGAGACCTTTGTCCTGCAGTGGACGCAGTGGTGGTGGTGGTGGTGGTGGTGGTGGTGGTGGTGGTGGTGGTGGTGGTGGTGGTGGTGGTGGTGGTGGTGGTGGTGGTGGTGGTGGTGTGGTGGTGGTGGTGGTGGTGGTGGTGGTGGTGGTGGTGGTGGTGGTGGTGGTGGTGGTGGTGGTGGTGGTGGTGGTGGTGGTGTGGTGGTGGTGGTGG